GTTTGACTAGCATCATTGTCATTTGAATTTGCCATCGAATATATTTTTTAGTACGCAGAAATTGTAGAAAGTATTACATTTCTGTGCATTAGCATCTTCATATATGACTTCATACATATACATATATTACATATATATTATATATATTCGCAAATAAATAGAATTAATCGAATTATATAACATCTATAACAAAATCGTACGATTTGTCTTTTGGGTTCCGAATAACCACCATCTGAAAGTTTGAGAACATTCTCATGCTTATCCAGATAAAAATAGATGTAATATAAATTTAATCCCGCATACAAACCTAATTCTGAGAAACAGACAATCTGCTTTAGTGAACCTGAACAAAACCTGAATATGGGTCTGAAAATTAGGAGTTGGACCGATCAGATTGTCACCTATGGACGCTGCTTAGTTCTGAACAATGCATTTCACTTTCTCCACCCAGTGAATGGAATTGTAGTGCACTCTGAGATCTGCTGGGTGTCCGGTCACGAAAACGTCCAGACGAAATATCACTGCCTCTGCGAGAACTTTTTAATGAAATACTTTCTTGAGAAAGAGAACAATGGCAAATAATAACCTTAAAAGCAGAACGAAAATCTTTAGAAAAAAGTGCATATATCATTGGGTTGATCGCAGAGTTACAGTAACCAAGCCAAAAAAGTATTGAGAAGAGTATAGGATCTATGCAATCTTGACAAAAGGCTCGGATAATATATATTGTAAAAAATGGGAGCCAGCAGAAAATGAAGAGACCAACAATGATGGCAAGAGTTTTTGTGGCTTTAGTTTCCGTTCGAAAACGTTTAACTTGTGTTTTGAAATTTCTTCGTCCAATTTTTTTGCTTCGATATGGTTGATGTTGCTGCATAAATGACATTGCATGTTGGTGGGTTATATCGCTGGTATTTGATTGGCGGCGCTCATTGTCTACTTGTAAATAACAAATTTTGCTTTGCTGAGGAAAGAGTTCCGACTCGATCGTCTCGCTACCGCTTACTGAATTGTAATGCACTGCATAAAGGGTGCTGCCACTGTTGAAAGGACGGTGTTCACCAGAGCCAGTCGACTCACCACCGCGAAATTCATTAATACTTTCAGTGGAAGCATATGAAACGGATATCTTAATTTTGTCGGAGTTATGAGACCGTCGGGTGGTATATTTTGAAAGGCGCTCTGGGGATGGAGTGCCCAAAGTAGTGGTGGTGCTTTGGGTGCTGCCACTACTATAGGTTGAGTCGTGCTGATTTGTACCGCGTCCACGATGAATTCGTAATGTTAAGCGTTTTTCTTCGAAACGTGAACCAATACTTTTCGATCCTATTGGAAGTTCAAAAAGGATTAAACAAAATAATAAAAAAATTTATTAATATATATCTATGTTCATTTAGATAAAAACATTGTTAGAATGTAAATCAAAGATTTATTTATTTTTAGTAGTAAGTCAAATAAATAATTAAATAAGTACCTCCAAAATCTCCTAATTTGTTTCCCCTATATGTCAAAAAACTAATTTACAGATTCAACAAAATGTCATATGCTTTTTGTTACGCCATATCCAATGCAATTGTTTTCTTCTTGAATCTATTGTAACCAAACTTAAAAACTATATATATTATAAAGTATCGATTTTTTGTATAATTTAGAATTTAGAGTGTTTTAAATTCTAAGCTTCTTCTAATTGATACGTCTAATATATTATATTTACGAACCTATTATATCACCGAACATTTTATGCTCTCGCATGACAAGTTTCATCAGGATATCTCAATTTTTACTCAAGATAGATAGACAGACATCCAGATTTCAACTCAACTCGTCACCCTGATCACTTTGGTATATGTAACCATATATCTGACGATATATACCGTTATTAGCAACTTTATTGCGAGAGTATAAAAATGATGCCCTCTGAATTACATGAAAATATCTAAAGATTCACGGATATTTTTGGTGAAAAATTAGGTTAGGTTAGGATAGGCACTGAGTTCTTCTTGTTCGATATCAGAGACCTTGAAAAGTTATAGTCCGATCACGACAGTTTTTCCACAAGGGATACCTCACCTCAAATACCGTATTTGTGTAAAGTTTTATTTCGCTATCATTGGGCCACGCCCACTTTTCCAAGAAAATTACGTCCATATATGCCCTTCCCTAAAGCCATCCTTTGTGATAAATTTCACTTTAATATCTTTATTTATGGCTTAGTTATGACACTTTAAAGGTTTTCGCCATTTTGTGGGTGTGGCAGTGCTCCGATTTTGCCCATCTTCGAACTTAACCTTCTTATGGAGCCAAGAAATACATGTACCAAGTTTCATGATGATATATCAATTATTACTCAAGTTACAGCTTGCAGGAACGAACACTCTATTCGTCACCCTGATCACTTTGGTATATATAACCTTATATCTACTCTTTTAGTTTTAGGACTTACAAACAACCGTTATGTGAACAAAACTATAATACTCTCCTTAGCAACTTTGTTGCGAGAGTATAACAATGGTACTAAATTAAATAAAATGTATGGTTGAGCACTGATATTAATTCTGAAATTTGCGGAAGTAATGGATCTTTATTTTCATAAATTGCAATATAAAATAACCATGCCTACTGGTCCAAAAATGGTATAGTAAAATTAATAATTTTAGATGACACTTTGTATTAAAATTTTTTATCAACTAGTATATTTGTCTAATTAGGTTTATAAATGTAAATCACATTAATCAGACAGTTAGGCACAAGAGTCTCTTGCATGAATTAGAATATTCTGGAGCAACTGTATTCTGGTGTCTTCTTCACATCGTGTTCATTTCAATGTTTCTACGATAAGAATCGACATTTGCAAATGAATGTCTAACTGTTGAATGCAGAAAGTAAAATGTCTAATGGTTAGAAGAACCAATAGAACATTGATTTATTTTCGGTTTAGTGCGGAATGTTGACCACCAAAGCGATACTACTACAGTTGCTTTAATCGAAAATTGTCGTTGATGTAGCCATTTAGAGAGTTTCACACACTCTAAAAATCAGAAATAGTAAATAGTGCATAGATACACATTTAAAATGTATATTGTATCCTTTATTTTAATATTTTATTGTCATTTTTGGTTGCGTTAACTTTGTTTTAAGTTTAAGTTTCATTTAGAAACTCATGAAGTATTTCTTGTTAGTATCCACATACAATAGTGATTATGTACATATATACGTCTTATTCTATAAATGTATACTTTTTTTACACACATATGTATATATATGCATATATGTTTCAATATAAAAGCATTTACGCGTACGTAACAATTATTTTATATAACCTTATAGTTGTTTGAAAATTTGTGGTTTAGTTTAGTTTAGTATCTTAAAACGTGCCGGACCGGGATAATAATTAATGTCACTGAAAATACATATTTTCATATTTTGCATGTATGTATTTTTAATATTTTTGCATATGGTTTGCACATATATTTATATTCTTTTTTACGATAAAATTTAGACTTAATGTATAATCATCAATATGGTGAAAATGGATCAATGTCACTAAATATTATGCCAATACCTTCGTATTATGCAATATATTGCAATTTAAAACAAGGTAGTTATTGCATATTATCTTTATATATATATTGTACCTATTTACTCATATTTTCTGCATATTATGTTCTTATAAGACTATTACCTTTGCTTTATAATATTAGTTAATATTATTAGTATTAAATTTTCTTATACATGGACTTTTGTACAATAATTTGTAAAAAACAAATATAATACATACGTATACCAATCGTATGTATTAATGATATGCTATATAATATTTAAGTTTGTATGTAAATATAATGTAAGATTAGGAAACCAATTGAAGAAAAATTAGTTAATTAAGTTTTTACATTTCTAATCTTCTTATATTACTTAGCGTACAGATACGGATGAATGTTTTTTATGTATTATATATATATAATTTATATATAATATATAATTTATATATATCTAAATATATAATATGTATATAAGAGTAATGGATTAAAATTTGTATACAATAGAACTGTTTTGATATCTCCTATTATAAGTGTTGTCCAAAAGGAGTAAATTCACGAAATCAAGGCAATATAGTGTATCGGTAACGAATGGAATGACCAATAATAGCTAATATTTCCATATCCCGCTACGCCAGAGCAGAGCACAGCACTTCATTTTCGACAATTGCTACAGCTATAGTTTTTTACATAACAAAACTCGGAGCAGAGCAGAGCACATATTTTTACATTGTTCTGCTACGGCTCCCGTCAAAGTGAGAGTAATTCTAGAAATTTCGCAGCTACAGAGTCGTAAATGAAAACCCAGCTTTTTAATCCCTAGAAATACAATACAGAGACAATATTCAAATATCTTGAACAGGGTTTGAAGTAAAAAAGAAATAATTGAGGAAATAAAATTTTTCAAATGCTTCTGGTCTCTCACTTCCATAATCTAGCAAGAAACTAATTAGAATATAATATTATATATGTACATACGTGTACCATATATTTGTCTACAACTAATTTTGGATTAGCCAAAATTTATTCCACCATCCTCATCATCTGAGCAACCTGAAATCGTTTTATGGAATGTAGCCGGTGCCATTAGCGCGCGTGCAGCAATCATTTGGAAATTTTCAGATGCTCGGAATCCGCTACGAGTACACACACAACGGCAAAGTATGCGTTTAAAAGCGATGCGGAACTCATTAGAGAAGAGGGCGTATATGAGGGGATTGACCGCTGAATTACAGTAGCCAAGCCAAAAAAGTATTGAAAAAATTGTAGGTTCAATGCACTCTTCACAAAACGCCCGTACTAAATATATAGTAAAAAAGGGTAACCAGCAAAAAATAAACCCGCCTACGATAATGGCGAGGGTTTTTGCTGCTTTTGTTTCCATGTGAAAGCGTTTTACTTGAAATTTGGCACTGCGCTTACCTCCACGCCTTTTAACTGGTGAATTGGTCACGTTGCTAATATCACCATCAATAGCTGCCAATATGTCCCGCCTACTGCCGGTCAAACTTTCGCTTGTATTGGCAACGTATGCGACCTTCTTGAAAGAAGTCTCTGCCACCTCACAGCCGCCTGTCTTGAAAGAAGACATTCGGCCGTGCGTAAACGTTAATTTACTATCCGTGTTTCCTGTAAGGGAAGTAGAATAAGGGGGGTCAGAGTTAACAAACTCTGAACGCAAATCTATTACATTCTCAGATGAAGGGTACGACACTTTAATAGATATTTTTTCATGGCGCTGCCGATGTATACGCATTGAAGTGGTGCGCCTTGGAGTATGTGTTATAGACCTTTCATCGTCTCCGTTACTGTTCACACTAAGTGTAGAAGACACAGAATGCATGGAGAGAGGAGCACGCTGTGGGGTCCCGCCTGGCCTACCGCGATGCATGCGTAATATCATCTGAGTTTGATTAGCTTGACTGCTGCTGGCATCGCGAGGACTACCTGAAAGAAAATGGTTGAAGTTTGGAACCAGAATTGCATTTAGCTTTTGGGAATCTCATGCTAAAATAGGTGGATATGATTTATTATATTTATTTCTCAATTATATTTGTATTCAATTTGCACATAGAACAAATGGAGACCACTTAGATGTTGAACAAAACTTATTAGATATGAACTGTTTCTATATGCATTTTTCGCTAACATTTATCGAAGTTGTAATGTAACATTTTTACAAGGAGTGATATTTTGTTGGAGTCGTAAGAATTAGGTAAAATCAAAAGGTTGATAAGTTAAAGATATTTTTGGCCTAAATTTTACATGCATTTAGAATTCCATATATACAAAGGATGCATTTGGATTTTCTTAACTTTTTGAAGAATTTTATCCATTATAACAATAAAGATACCTCACTTCAAATTATCTCACATGTTGTATTTTTCAAACCAAGTTTTATATAAAGAGCCTGAGTCTGAGGAAAGTAATTTTTTTGATATAAATTTAAGGAACACTTATTTTAATGTGATTTAGATTAATAATACGCATATTTTCAATAGTAGATATTTGTATGTTTGTATTTTTCAATTATGAAATTAAATTTAACAAGGCCCTGCATTTACAATATATTTAAGCAAATATACAGATAAATGCAACCCTGTTTATTGGATCCATATATTTTTTAAATAACTTTATATACATACACATATACGTGGTTTATTTGGTCTACATATGCGAATTTACTTTAATGTGAGCCTTTGTAATATGAAATAGTAGAATCCAAAGCTCTCAGTATACCTCATTGCATACAAATCTATTCATTAACTTTCAAAACTAAGCCCTCCTCACAATATACGCAAAAAAGCAAAATATGTATTTCTATTCAGAGCCGTAGAGAACATTATGTACTTACATGCTGACATAAATACTGTATTGCTCAGGCGTGGCTCAGTCAATTATTCACCTTATAACTTGTGATAACTATAAACCGCTTTTCCTCTGAAAATTTTTCACTTTTCCAAAAAATTTGTCTTTCCTTTCAGACTGTTTACATGACTGTGTTTTCTCTACCACATCCGTGCCACGAGAATAACGTCGTTATATGCAGAGTTACCATATATACTAATGAGGACTTGTACTTTTGTCTTAAATAAGTTCCGAAAAATGTAAAGTCTTACACCTTTCTAGCCAAGGCTTGCAGTCCTACAAATCTCGTTTATATTAAGTTGTCAAAAGGTTGCGGTATTTTCGCTAGTTGGCGCTGAGAGCGCGTAATTCTAGTTTTATTTGTCGCATCGGTACAGTACTACTACGATAAAGACAAAAATGCATCTCAAGCCGCCAATAAAATTTGTGCAGTTTATGGACTCGATACAGTTTCCATTTCCACCGCACAACAATGGTTTCAACGTTTTCGTTCTGGTATAGAGGTGGTCGAAGATGCGCCACGCTCCAGAAGATCTGTCGTCGAAAATTGCGATAAAATCGCTGAATTGGTTGAAAGAGACTGACATAGTAGCAGCCGTCAAGAGCTGGATGTTAATATAACAGTTTTAAAGCAATGTAACAGTTTGGAGGAAATGTATTCTCGTTTATGTTAAGAAATTGATTCTTTAAGCAATTGGTGTAATTGTCTGAGTTTCCAAACCTTTCCAAACGAATTGAAGTCGTGCAACGTGTTTTTATACATTATGCCTTTCTAATTGCTAATATTTAAATGTATTTGCTTTTGATATTATTTGCAGAGCTATTGATTAAACTTATCACAAGTTCGCTTTTTGTGGACAGCTACCTAACCAAGTCCTAACCAAGAATTGTAAGAATTGGTTCAATAAATTTTTAAAATCGACTCAGTCCTTTTACTTTCTGGACAAACTCTGTATAATTTAATTTAGTGCTTTGTTATGACAATTTATAGGTTTTCCGTTAAAGGTGATTTTTGGGCGTGGCAGTGATCCGATTACGTCCATCCCAGAACTGTAATTTTTTATACTAAGAAATCCGCATACAAAGTTGCATCGAGATATCTCAATGCTAAGATAATCTGTTAAGAATATGTGGTAATAGCAAAAATAGAGAAAATCGAGGCAATGCTACCATATTAGATCAAATAATTCCCGCTTAACTTTAAACCATTTATCTTGGTCCAAATGTGGGATATATGAAAAATATATTAAAATAAGTGCTTAAAATTATGTAGTTTAGTGCTGAATATGAATGAATTTGGTCCAGACTTGGCCCAAACTTCCTATTCCTCAGAATTCTAAATTGACCTTTTGCACATCTCAATAGATATATAAATATGTACCTATATAATGATTAAATTTAGGCTTAGATTGATTATATGTATGTATACGTATGTGTATCATATATCTTTTTGAGAATGATTAGCTGGTAGGAAGTAAAATATTCTTTTTAAACTTTCTAGGAATATTACCTATAGTAATAATTATAATATACCAAATTTGATTGGAATCCATTGGCGTATTCAACGAACAATGAATCCTGAATATTTCACAGGATCTCTCCGAATTTCCATTGTATATCCCATAAATTTAATTTTAATAATTCTTCAATTAAATATAATTATGTCATCTAACTACGCTAGAGGGAATTTACATACATACTATATATACATATATTTATCTATAGAATTTAACTAAAAATTATGTCATTTTGCTTCGGATACGCATTATGGCAACTGGCTATAAATTCTAATTATACTGGGGTCTTCATTTACTTGTGACTAATGCATGCGTGAGAGCAAATTTCCATGCAATTATATTAAGATAAGCAGCACATCGATTGATATATTCGGCATTTTTATCAAACCTTACCTCTGGTGGGGGGATATGAAAAGTCTTTTCTTGAGTGAGAATTTATTCATTCTAATTTTTATTCCATCTTCTCTTTACTTGCATATGAACATAAACAAACAAAATTGTCGAATATTTAGTGCTTGCAACCCACATGAGACGGAATTGCATCCACTTCGTGTCACAGTGTGGTGTGCAGTGTCATCACGCTGCATTGTCGGGCCCTATTTCTTCGAAAAAAACGGTCACACCCTTACGGTTACTGGAGACCGTTACTTGAGCACGTTGAGAGAGTTTTTCTATCCAGAATTACGCCGAATGCGAATTTCTTTCAACTCTGTGTGGTTTCAGCAAGATGGWGCAGCTCCTCACATAGCCCAACCTGTTATGACAGAATTGCGACGAAAATTTCCCAATAAGCTGATATCTAGAAACTAAACATTCCGTTGGCCACCCAGGTCGCCTGACCTTACTGCACCTGACTTTTTCTTGTGGGGTTATAGCAAACAGGAAGTCTACAAAGCAAAACCAATAWATTTGAATGAACTAAGGCAATCCATTCGAGAAACAATCGCGGCTATTCCTGTCTCAACTCTCCAAGCAGTATGAACAACTTTTTGGTAAGATGCCGCACATGCATCAACGAGCAGGGGGCATTTAAATTCCATTATTTTTAAAACTAATTAAGCTATATTTAATAAAATTGAATGAGCTTTTACATAAATAAAAGAAAAATGAATTCCATACACTGAAAAAAAAAATTATTTGAGTTTCTTAATGTAGTAAAATTCATCAGCCACCCTGTATGTATGTATATGTTTGTATGTATTGCAGCATATTGTTTATGCTGCATGATATGGGGTTGTTTTCAAGTGTACAGTTCAATACATGTGTGTGTGTTTAATGTTATCTCATCTGTAAATTTATGACTTGTGTCCCCATGCATTTTTATTATTATTGGATGTGCATTGCATGTGGCTGTTTATGTATGTATGTTTGAAAATAGATATTTATTTTTAATAGTATTTCGGCTTTGCTGATACTAAATAAGTAAGCATGTTCAATAGTATTTAAGCTGCTAGCTTCGACCAATAGAAGAGGTGTTCCATTAAGACAACACAAGGCCATATCGCACATCGATTGTGACCCGCAAAAAGCTCTGGAACCTTGATTGAGAGGTTCTCATACATTCACTTTATAATTTTTTCCTGCCACTAAGTCATTACTACCTGTTCCTGTTTACGGCTTATTACGGATTTTTTTAGACCGATTATTTCATAACAAAAAGGTTTGTATGCAAATATTACTTAAAATTCGTAGTGTTTAAGGAGTAACTATTTTTTAGACAACAATTTTGGTAAATAATCCAGTAAGCAGTTGGGGTGTAATTGATCATTGTACACTCTTGCAAGGTAAAGTGAAATAAGGGATTTTCGTAAATATTTTAATAAAAAGTAGGAATTGTTGCATTTATTATTTACATTAACAGGAAAGGAGGTAGCAAATTATTAGAAATATAATATTTCAGAATTTAATGGATTTCCTATTGACAGATAAAAGATCGAAAATATTTATATTAAGTACAAGTATGGGGCATTGCACCGATTTTACGCATTTTTGGAATAAGAGCATGCTATATTTACAACAAATTCTCCTCGAATTTGTATACTAGAATTACCTATACGTTCGGTAAAAATCTGTCAAATGCAATAGATTTGGTTTGTAGGTCCTGAAAAGTTATAGTCTGATTTCGAAAATGTGTGGGCTTAAAATTAAATTTAAAGTTGTGTAATAAGAACGGTTTGGTAACTTCACATACCAACTTCCACCACTTCCCCACCATCTTGGTTGTGAAATTTAATATTTTGGCACATTTATTCAGTGAGTTATCGCACCTAAAAGAGTTTTCAATATAACCGTTATATGAGGAATAGACGTAATTATCATCTGATTTTACCCATTTTCACAGCGTATAAAGAAGTGCTAAAAATACTTTTTTTCAGAAAGTTAGCTAATCTAAACATTAAACTATTTATGAGTGGGGATACGCCTTCTTGTTCGATTCGCTATTATTCAACGCTTGGCGAATCGAAGAATGCTCTATTTAAATTGAATTTTACCAAGAACAGCATGAATTTAAATGTTAATATATTATATACATATGTATGTACATTCCACAACAATGCAAAGAATTTACAAAGAAAACCTACAAATGTTGTAAATAAATTGATTTATTTTAAAAGTGCTTACCCTTTGTGGTCTTGAAGCCCTGTTTTATTGCTCGCGTAGTTCTCACTGCTGCTTTGTATATGCGCCAATAAAAAAAGAGCATCACAAACATCGGGATGTAGAATGATCCAAATGCCGAGTATAATACATAACCACGATCATTTGTCAGTTCACACTTTGAGGAACAAAATGACTTTTCATAGATGAATTTTGAACTTTCAATATATTCTCCACTCTCTAAAGATTGTTGCGCTGGATCTTGGTAATTAAACCCCTCGGACATTAATATGTCAGGTGTTGCATCTAATGACATGTGCGTCCGATTGTATGGGAATCCTAACTGCTGCATTTGCTTTAATTGCACACTACGCTGAACAGATACAATAGTTGTAGTATAGAAACGGGTGTAATTTTCTCGTGTGTACACTGACTGTATTATCGACTGATAGAAAGAAGATATATTAAAAGTATTATTCATATACATGTATGTAAATAAATATATTTAGAGATATATAAAAAAATATTCGCATAACCAATATGACAATTTAGTATGTTTTATCAAGACCTATGACTGAAAGTTTTATAAAATTTATTCTTTAAACAGTAGTACGGGTGTAACCGAATATTTCATACTCGGTAGTTTTCACCCGATTTTATCCACTTTAGGCACAAAGATGAACTCTTATTAGAAAAACACGCTCCCTCAATTTTATTAGAATAACTCACACATTTGCCGTTATATACAGTGTAAAGTCAACTGGAATTTCGAAAAAGAAATTATTGATCCGATTAAACCCACTTTTCACAAACATACATACTATTATTAGAAAAGGATTCTCTCCGAATTTCCATAATACAGATTAAACCATATTTTCGACAAAAAGTTCGAAATTGGAATTTTAATCTACATATTCGGTATCTGGTTCGGGCAAATGTTTATTCCGTTCATCGGGTGCTTGATTTGAATTCTGGAAAGTGAAGGAAATAAAATTAATTTAAAATTGAGTTATTTGCGAAGTAGGCGTGTTTGTAGCAAGATGTCGTTTGTGTTTGCTCTGAAATATAGGGATATCAAGATAACATTGAGTCCTGAGATATGGCTTTTGAAATGTCGTTTTAAACCCCATAAAGATCTCTTGTATCATTCCAAGTCTAAAGTTTAATGTCTCTATATTTATTTATTGATATGTCGCGGTTTTACCATATTAGTTTTTATCGGAACCGTTATATGGGGAGTGGGCGATTACAACCATCTACGAACTCGTCCACATTTTGCCAAGGAACATACCTACGACTTATCATCCTGATAACCCTATATCCAACTTGATTATCTTTAAATGATACAAGCAACCGTTAAGTGAGCAAAACTATCATACTCTGTAGCAACATGTTGCAAGAGTATAAAAATAAAAAAAGTGCTTTCTAATTAATTAAAATAAAAATGTGGACCAAACAAAAAAAAAAAAATCTTTCAATATTTTATCTAAGGGAAGATATATATTTTTTCAAATATAACAAATGAATTATCACTACTAATGCTTACATATGTGTAGTTATGTTTAGATTTTGTTTGAGTAAGCAATTTCATATTTTTATCAAGGCCCATGATTATAATTATTGAAAAATGTCGATATGGACGACATGTACTTCTAACGATGGAATTTATTTGAGCCAGCCGCAGTGGTCATTTTACCGAAATCATTTTTAAAACATCTTGATAATAAAGGTAAACTCTTGACCATTACTTTAAATTATATGCGTTTTATGTATTTCTCCTTCAAAACTGCATGTTGGCAAAATTTATTTACTTCAAACTTTCGTTGATTTCCCTATAAATATTGTATGTACATAAACATATGTATGGAATATACTGGAACAAAAACGCACCGAGAAATTGTAATTAAATTCTCAGGGTAAATAGTATTTCCATATTTTTGGGAAATCCCATATCTCAGCACTCGACCAGCCGATTTGGACAAAATTTAGTACGCGACATTGTTTTTACATTATTATGTCACATTATTAAAATTGACCAAATCAGACAATAACGTAGGCAAGGCACAATGTGAGTTATTAAAATGAAAAAAAAAACCTGTTTTATTCATAACAGGGTATCTTTGTACGTAAAATAGATAAATTTGAGCAAAAACTTGGCTTAGCCCCTATATAACTAATACAAGTATTAGGATTTCGAACATCCGGCTTACTTTACTCTTTTGATTGGTTTTACCTTTAAATTATTTTCCGGGCTTTGATTCTTGCAAGTTGCAAGAGCATAAAATGTTTAGTTGCACCCGAACTTAGCTCTTCCTTACTTGTTCTAAATAACATTTACAGTTTGTGCCAATTTTCCTTATTATATTACATAAACAATTGTCTCCTAGGTTAATATTATTAATAAAATATAAACATTGTTATTAATAAAATTCCAAATAATTATTTTATAAATCACCAAATATAAATAAGCTGATGCATATATACATATGTACGTATGTATGTATGTCCATTTATTGTAAATTCTATATATACCTTTTGATCCTTCCAGCCAACAAGTGGGGGAAAGCATATAACAAATGACAGCACCCAAACTCCAGCAATCAATGATTTTGCCCGTTTTGTTGACATTATACTCGGGTAGGCAACTGGACGGGTAACGGCTACATATCTATCTAAAGATATTGCACATAAGTTCAATATGGATGCTGTGCACATCCATACATCTACAGCAAGCCACATACGACACCAGACATCACCGAATATCCATATCTATAATAAATATGAAAAATAACAACAAAATCAAAAGTTTTTTCATAAACTAGAGAATTGTATTACTATTGCCATTAATACAAAAATACATACAAAATTATTGCAATAAATAAAAGAGGAGAAGTTGGGCAATTTTTAATTGAGTTTAAACTCAATAATTGCGTAATGCACATTTTATTTCTTTTCGGGGTTTTTAGAGTATCAATTGTAATTGATTCAATGTATAAATGTATATACATAATGGTTGGGGTCAAATACATATATAAATTAAAATACTTATCACATGCAAGAAAGCTAAGATCGGGCGGAACCGAATATTTTTTACTCTCTCTATTTGCAAAAAACACTGTAAATGAATAAAGAATATTGATTAGGAAGATACTTACTACATTTCATTATTACTTTTTACTTCATGTCCCAGATATTTTTATTCACATCTATCTAATTAATGTATTGTATACATAATAGCAATGCTTTTTTTGTCACATCCTCTTTTGAAATTGGCGGGAATTGGTCGAGTTCTCGAGATATAGGACTTCACCTGAAATGGGCTACTCATATTGTCCAAATGATCTGTACTAAATTACAGTTTGGTACCTCAATTTGCGGCATACTTATAGCACTTCATAGATTTGCGATTGGTTTGATTTCGCCAATTTCGCAATACCAACCTTCTACTACAACTGGTTGAAAGTCAATGGAAAGTGGAAAAAAATGGTACATATTTTCGGCAGATGTTTTACAATAGTTAAGAACTGTTGATTTACCGAAACCTTTGTTTTTACAAAGAAGTTTAAAATACATGATAATATTAATGAAGTTTTCGTAGCAGAGAAACATAAAAGACACAATTTTGATGATTTCTAAAGTTAACAACTTTTTATACCGAAAGTTCGTTAACCCGACTACTTTAATACAAAGTTTTGGCTACGGACTACTTCGCGTATATCCATACAGACGGACAGATGAAAATGGTTAAATCGACTCAGCTCGTTAAACTGATTGAAATTCATATATATTTTTAAATAAACGAACATGTATGCTTCACCTATTTCTTCGCTTATTGTTTTGCTCTCGTTTTTTTTTTTTTCAAAATTATGTATAACTGTCACATCTCGACAGGCAATTTAAAATTGCAAAAAGTCTGTATTGCTAGCAATATTGTCAATGGAGACTGCAAATTGTTAATGTTTAGAAGTTGATGTATGTATGATGCTATTGTTAGCATATATTTTGATGGTATGGAAGAGCAGTTTTCAATAAGCTAAATAGTGAATTAACACTATTTTTGCACTATATAAAGAAAAATAAAAGTGTACAAACGAATTAATGTAGTGTTAGTGCAAAATATAAGTTTAAAATTAACTTCAATTTTAAAAGCAAATATTTCGAAAGCACTACTAATATCTCTTGATCTGGAGAATCTCCTCTATCCTACCATACCCATTTTATTCCCAAATCCTATTTATTTAATTAGTAAATAACCATTACGCAACAATTATTTAAGTCTTAATATATGAATACTTTTTTCCCCAATAAATACATTTGTTGAAAACAGTACATTTCTTTTTTTTTCATTTTCCCTATGCTCACACTAGAAAATTGCCAACTTCAATGGCAGCGTCAAAAAGAAGTCTTTCGTATTTCTAATCATCAAACTTCAACTTATTTTTTTTTTTATAATTATGTATACTAATAAATAAATTTATACTTATAATAATGCACCATTTTGGTCTATTACTTTTTACCATTTTTCTGCTAAACACATTTTTCCATCAGTGTCAAACTTCATCAGTGTAAATCGAAATTTCCAAATTTCCAGAACGGAAGCGGGGGAGCGATTGTTGTGCTACACGAACTAATATAGCATCGTCTCCGTAAACTTCACAAATTGGTACTTCATTCTTCCCTTTTTTATACAAAAATTTCAAAATATAGTGAAAGGCTTCACAGCTTTAACTTTTTTTCTACTTCCCGATTTTTTTTAATGACGCTTAAAATTTCACCATTTCAACATTATATGGACTGACACAATTTGATTGGTAGCTCTGGAGATATACGACTGCAACGACATATATTGACAAGGAAAAGACTTCTTCGACTACTCAATATAATAGCTCCTAAAAACTATACAGAATATCCTAAAGAAATATGCGAACCATAGAATCAGAAAGCCTCAAAGCAAAGAATGTGAATAAATAGAGAAGGCACAAAAGTTAAATGAAATCCTTTTGAGTAAAAATTTGTAGTCTTCACATGAGCAAACAGCGAAAAATAGGAATAACTTCGAAAATAAAAATATACCACGCGATGAGGGAAACGGGAATAGACCCAACGAATGTTCTTAAATGAATTATGGATGCGCATGACTATTTACATAAATTTGGGTAGTTTTCTATGATATGACAAAAAAATTCATAATTTATATTTACAAATAATCTCTTGAAGTGGATTATTGGTAAAAATCGCGGAATAAATAAAGCATTTAATGTATAAATTCTTCTACATATTTATATATGTTGTGTGTTGCGTGAACAATAACCCCTTATGTTTCAATAAGCATTTATCTGTTCTAGTCAATCACTATCTTTAATAGAATGCCTGCAAATAAACGCGAGTTCGGGCTGAGTAAAAGAAAATTAGTCTAACAAACCGTTGATAAAAGAAATGTAAGGAAGAACAAATTTCGGGTGCAACCGAACATTTTATACTATTGCAATTTACAAAAATCAAAGCCCTGGTAAATACTTTAAGGTGTAAAACCAATTATATAGAGTAAAGTTAACCGGATGTTCGAAAATCCTGATATAAGTTATATGGGAGCTAGGCCAAGTTTTTGCTGAAATTTAATTATTTTTGGCACCTGTCTCTTATACACATCTAGATGTGTATAAGAGACAGAAGATATACTGTTATGAGTAAAACTCGCTCTCTAATTTCCACTGAGATAATTCACATTCTTAAAATAATAATTTTCAAACTTCCGGGTGACTTTGTACCGCGTGTATAGGTATTGGTCCGATTCAACGGTTTTTGACATACAGATATACCGATATAAGAGAGGATTATCCCTGAATTTTAATGATATATGTATCGCACACATTGACCGAAATTTTCGAACAAAATTCGACCATAGCTACTGGGTACACATATTAGGTACACATATTCGGTACCCAGGGTCTTAAACAGTTTTGGTTGGATTTAAACAATTCTTTGCCATAATTTGGCATACTTTAAAGGAATTATTGGAGGAAAGTTTTATCCCATTAAATTAATTGCTTTTTGATTTATGTACATGAAACTGAACGAATAAAGTGGATTTTAAAGTTGTACTATATGGAAGTAGGCGTGGTTATTGTCTGATTTCATCAATTTTCACAATGTGCCATAGAAATTTGAAAAAAGTACTACATTCTAAATCGGTCAATTATATCTCGAGATATGCGATTTCACCAAAAAGTGGGCGGTGCCACCCCCCTCGTCCAATTTTCACACCGGTTCTCATAAAGCTCTCTCATAAAATATCGGTGGTAAAATTTATTTTTTTCGGCGTAGTTAGTTATTGCATAATCTCATTCTTAGTACTTTTAAGCATACCGTTATATGGGGAGTGAACGGGATTTTCATCCGATTTCGTCCATTTTCACAATATTGGTAGGTAGTTTTTATAATATCCATGCTGAGCAAATTTGGTTGTTGTAGCTTAAGCTAAGAGATTATGTATATAACTTAAACTTATTAGAGGGCGAGGCCACGTCCTCTTCTTCAAATCAAAGGTGATTTTTATATCTTAATTTAGTGCCTTGTTATGGTACTTTATATGTTTTCGTTAATGACGATTTGTAGATGTGGCAATGGTCCGATTACGCCCATCTACGAACTCGACCTTTTTTTGTATTAAAAAACCTGCATAGCAAGTTTATCAAGATATATTAATTTTTACTGAAGTTACAGCTTGCTCAAAAGGACGAACGGACAGACAGACAGCCAATCGGATTTCAACTTTTTTTGTCACCCTTATCATTTTGAATATACGTATATCTACCTCGATTAGTTTTAGGTGATGGTTGCTACAATGGACAACTTTGCCGACAAACATACATAGGAGCTCGCAAACATATTGACGCCAAAATGTGTGTATCGTCGCGGATTTCACAAAATTTGTTTCATTCGACAATCTTGCGACATTGTCGACACTGTTTTCATGGTTGTCCGTTTTGTAATTATTTTTTACTGAAAAATTACTTAAGTTACTTTTGAAGTGATGCGGTTACCGATTTAGCTGCAAGATCGCTAATAAAAAATGAAAAACAATTAAAATTAAAGAAAAATCGAAATTTAAATATATTTCATGAAACGTTTTGCAATGTGATGCGTAGTAGTATTAATTTACAATTACCAATGATTAAAAACATTTATAATAAGTCACCTTACAACTATTAAGTATTAGTAAAAGTCAGCTGTTTTAATATGCCATAAAAGCATAAAAAAAGTTTTAAGTAGTTTCACCTTATATTAAAAGTCCAATATATACTAATTTGCAATCGTAATAAATGTTGAGTGTTTTAATTTAAATGCCCAAAACAATTAGTTTGACCGATCTGCTACAATAGAAAATACACTTATTTTGAGGTGCTCTCACACTGAAATAAGTTGAGCATCATTTTATCACTCATATGGAGCGTGCTTGGAAGGTATTCATACAAACATCATTTTATAATTTAATGTCATATATAGTATAAAACATGAAGAATTAAAAAGGGGAAAACTTTACTATACCGTTCCAAGATTTTTGGAATAAAATGGGTATGGTCGAATAGAGGAGGTTCTCCAGATCAAAAATATAGAAAAAATATAGGGTTGCAGTTGTTGTTATATAATTAGATTTGAACAATAAGTGTGGTTGATCAGGCCTTTTTGGAGGGTCGGGAAGAGGTCGCTGATGAAGACCGTGTTGGGAGGCCTGCAACTTCGCCAAACACCGACAATGAGGCTCGTGTGCGCAAAGTTTTGAACTTAGACCATTTACTTAGTTCGTTTAATTGTCCAGATGGTAAATGTACCTATCAAAATCTGTAGTTCATGACATTGTGCGGGAGCATTTGAACATGCGCAAGGTGTGAGCGAAGATGGACGAGTGGAAGTGTGACAAAAAAATTTGAACATGTATGAAAGTGACCCCCAATTTTTGAATAACGTAATCACAGGTGACAGGCTGACTATTTTGTTTCCTTGCCGATGAAGGGCAAGCATTTTGAGACGACAGAAGGGATCCAAGTAACATGCATCTCGGCTCTCAAGGCTATTCCGAAGTCATTCTCCGGCCTTCAATGCTTGGAAATCGCGCTGGCAGCGCTGCATCAATGGAGAAGGAGCCTATTTTGAAAGTTTTTGAACAAATACAAATCGGCAAAGCGCCTTTAGCATAAATCAGTCTCAGCTGTCGTGTTTCGCTGAAGATAGAAGTGCCCCGATGTTTCAACCTCAGTCATGCAAACGCTGAAAAGTGGAGAAAAAAGAGCCTGTTTCCACCCCATTTTCTTCGATACATTGACATCTTGCTTCCGATAAGATTTTTGCCGTACTGCACGGATTCCTATTGGAAAGTATTCATTAAAAACTCCTACGATTACGAAGAGATGAACTTTGCTAAATGTTTTGCTAAGGGGATTGAAGTAGTTCAGCAGATCTCCTGCGTTTTACTCTAAGTGTAAGGGATGCCGCATTCGCAAAATCTCCTTCTCTGACAATGGTATGTCTGTATGTCGAAATCGGTCGAATCGGGTGAAATGGATAAATTTGAGCGAAAACTTGACTTAGCCCTATTATAACCATTATCAGTATTTTTGAACATAATATCGGATCGATACTAACCCAACTCGAATATCAATAAGATAGAGCGTATTGCATAGTTCATTTGTATGTTGGTGATGATTTCACATACTATTTCTTACAAGGAATTACCATTAGTGTGATTGATCATTCGTTTGTTTAGAATACCCGCTTTTAATATTTTCAAAGAAAAACTAATGACTAATGACCACTGTAGGATGTCTATTCTCGACATGTTTTTGTAAATTTGTTAAAGATGTTTTATATGAAATTTTTGATTTGCAAATATTGCAATTTGCGTTATTAAAAATTATAAAAACGTTACACTCAAAACTTCAAACCGCTATGACGATAAATAGCATAAACGCATATACATACATATATATGTATATATTTATACAATACCCTGAAGAAAGCTACTACTTTTCTGCTATTTGCTATTGTGATCGCATGTACTGTACTACTAAAAAATCACAGCTTTACAAGTTTATTGTGAACTGCTGTCGCAATCGCAATTCACAGGTTCGAACTGCTATCGCAAATCACAGTTTCGAACTGCTATCGCAATCGCAGTTCATAGAAGCGAACTAATATTTATAAAATGTGATAAGTGTAAGAGTTACATAGATTATATGTATATACATATATATAAGTTTCTTAGATTTCGATCCCCTGGTTGACGTTTTACATCTTAAGATATTTCCCTGGCTTTAATTCTAGCAAGTAGCAAGAGTATATAATGTTTGGTTGCACCCGAACTTAGCCCTTCCTTACTAGTTTTTAATGCCCAGTTACGAAGAACCGGGAAGTTTCCGATTTTCGATGGAGTTATTATATATATTCTTGCTAGTTTTTATAATACAGAATTGCACATCTAATTTAATTGTGACAAGAGTATAAAAATTAAAATATAATAATATACTTGTATTAATGTGACCTAAATTATAACATTTCCAATTTATGAGAGAACCGGACCTGATAACTATTTCAGTTAAAGTAAGAAATCAAAAAAGTAAAGGACAAATTTGATTTTATTAATCAACAAAACTTAAAGCGCATTTGTATGATGTACACACAAATGGTTAGAGCCTACGTTATGAATGATAGAAAAATTTTTCAACATGACTTAAGTAACCAAAAATCTACATTCATTTTTAGTATTTATTCCAGTATTTTATTCTATTCCAGCATTGCCCTCCAATCAGCTGCGAGCAGAGAACGTAAAACTATAGTACACGTTCTCTCCTTAAAAGTATTTCCTATACAATGACATACGATTTTTGAAAAATATGAAAAATTAAAAAATAGCACAGTTCTGAACAAAAAAAAAATAGTTTTTTAGGTAAAAATTTTTGTTTTTTTCATACCAAATTGAAAATTTTCAGCCAATCAAAAAGATCGTCAGTCATTGTATATTATAGTTATTCAACATTACTCAGTTTTAATTTGAAGTCGATCGGTCAATTTCTTATTGAGTTATGATGTCAGCAATTTTGAAAAGTTCTGCTATTCAAAAACTATTCAAGATACGATTGTCGACTTCACAGAATATTTTTAGATATAAGCTATCGCAAAAGAAAAAATTTTTTTTAGAATGTGTTACACTGGTATAGCCCCTTAAAACAATGCCTGATAATAAAGTGAAATCGTAAACAGGTATACGTATGTAGCTACTATAGTCATTATGAAGACTTTGGAGCTATTTTTTATGATGAATTATAAATATTTTTCCGATGGCGGTTTTGATATTAAGTTTTGTGTTAGCTGTTATGGTTTTGTATTGTTGCTACCAAAATATGATATCATCAATTGCGTTTGGATGAAAAAAGAAGGCCACATATCATGAATTTAGTACTCACCTTAAAAACTTCCCATATTGCCGAGAACGGAAGAACAGTTAAACCTACCAACAAGTCTGCAACGGCTAAATTAACTATTAAGTAATTCGTAACGCTACGTAATTTGTTTGAACAGAATACTGCTGCTATAACCAAAGAATTTCCGGAAATTACTAAGAGTATGATAAATAGAAGTATAGCTAACGATATTATATTCGCTGGATCTGACCATCTCAGTGATGCTGCCATATTTTCACACTCTGTCCCATTCATTGTGGTAAATTATATTTTTGTTGTTGAATTTACGCACAATAGCTAAATTCCTGCAAATAAAAACAAAAAAATTTAGTGGGAAAATTAAATTTGTTTGATAAAGGCGCTAAGAGTGATTAAATAAGTAAACGTTAACTAGGGGTGTAGGCGAACGCCTTATGTGCCTAAAAGTAAAGAATTAACTATATTTGAAAGAAAATATTTTATGCCTTCACAATTAAGGAAAAATATCTTTGTGGTAGGTTTTATCGATATCGATAAACGAGAGAAAACATAATAAACCGATTTAGCGCCCGCGGTGGTCGACCAAAATTTTTAACAGAGAGGGAAGAACGCAAAACATTGCCGCAATCTACATTTATCAATACCAAAAATTAACCACTAACTGAAGACAACACTTTACACCCAGGCTTTTGATGAGGCGGTCCGGGGTGATTAGAAGTAACAATATACTTGCGCGTAAAAACACGGCTTATTTCAATTCTAAATAAAACAAGTAAGAAAGACCGAAATCCTAGGTGAAGATTTCGCATAATTTTATCCATTTTAGATACAAAGATGCACTGTTATAACTAAAAAACGTTCTCTCATTTTCACATATTGGACGATGGATGCGGTATAAAGTCACACGGAAATTTGAAAACCTTTGTATTTGGTACATACATATATAGGAAGTATTGTCCAATTTAAACCTATTTTTGACATGTAAACATACTATAATCACGAAATTATTATCCTTGAAATATATTTGTATACTTCACACATTGTCCGATATTTTCGGTCAAATGTAAACTATAAGTACTGAGTATTGGATACCTAGAGACTTGAACAGTTTTCGTCATAGGTGGCATACTTCAAAGCATTATTCGTGTAAAGTTTTATCCCGTTATATTACAGTAATACCTCGGACTTACGCGATAGGTGGGTCTGAGCGATTGCCGTCTGAGTCGAATGCGCGTAAGTTGGGGTTCACATTTGCATTTAAGCATATACAGTACTATATGTTTAATCGGAACCAGAGATGAAATAAAACAATAATTTAGAATATAATGTAATAATAATCAGACGTCTAGAAGTCTTTCGCAATCCTGACCGAGCTTTTGGGGTTGCTCAACGTCAGTTTACAATGTCGTCTTAGTTTTGCGCAGATACCAAATTGAGATATAGCGGCGTAAAGGCAACTTCTTTTCGTATTGTCAAAAGCAGCTTTGAAATTTCCAATACTTGGCGCATGCTGAATATCTGGTCTGGCGTGGCGCGTCTCAAACTCTCATATTCCTATGTCAAAGTGTTAAATGGGTGAAAACAGACCACAACCACTCCTACTTTCCATGTAACACAATTTTTAAAACCATTTGAAAAAAAAAAAACTATTAAAGCCACTAGGTACCGAATATGTTATCTACATATAGTTAACTTTTCGCCGAAAATATCGACCAATGTGTGAGATATAAATTTAGACTTCAGACAGAAACCTTTGCTGACAATAATATATCTGTGTATCAAAAATGGGTTTAATCGGGTAACTACAGGGTAGTAGCCCCCAACTTCCATATACTACGTACGAGGTGTGTTCAAAACGTCTCGCGAATTTTGAATTTTCGCGGGTTACGTATATTCGAATTTAGAATTTTTTGTGGCGGTACCCATGTCTCTCACTTATGCCGACAAGCTCGGCCATTTTAAATGTTCATTTAATTGTTGACAGCTGCTTGGCTTGCATGTGTTTTGGATCGTCTTCGATTTTTACCTATTCAAAAAAATGGATCAAAGAACCTGTACCAAATTTTGTGTGAAAAACGAAATTAAGTGCGCGGATGCATTCCGAATGTTGAGTGTGGCATACGGAGAAGCTACCTTGGACCGAAGCAACGTTTATCGGTGGTACAAAATGTTCTCGGAAGGCCGAGAAGATGTGACAAAAATTGGCTTTTGCACCACGATAACGCCCCTGCTCACACATCGTTGCTTGTGCGCGACTTTTTGCCCAAAAACAACACACTAATGATGTCGCAGCCACCGTATTCCCCAGATCTGGCCCCCTGTGACTTTTTCTTCTTCCCTAAACTGAAGAGGCCCGTCAAAGGACGACGTTACGCTTCTCTTGACGAGATAAAGACGACATCGAAGGAGGAGCTGAAGAAGATAAAAAAAATGATTTTTTGAAGTGCTTCGAAGATTGGGAAAACCGTTGGCATAAGTGTGTAATATCTCATGGGGATTACTTTGAAGGGGACAAAATAGATAATCATGAATAAATAAAAAATTTTTGAAAAAACACAAAATTCGCTATATTTTTTGAACACACCTCGTATAATGAGTACGTGGAAAAATATTAAATGTTCGGGTGCACTGGGACTTGGCCCTTTCTTACTTATCTTAAATTGGTGCATAGTTGGGCACTTTATTGATTTTCCTTTAATGTCATTTTGTTGTCTTGATAGCGACCCGATTACGCCCATCTACATTACCAAATTTGTTAAAGCGCCATGGAACATGTCTAACAAGTTTCATCGGCATATCTTAGTTTTTACTCAACTTTTCTTCTCATCCTGATCAAGCATATATAGTATACTATATAACACTATATCTAACTCAAAGTACAAACAATGGTTTATTCAATTATACTCTTATGGTAAATCTTTTGTGAATCACTGTGATTATATAAATAAGAATTTCAAACTTTCAGTTAGTTTTGTATGGTATCATATTTATGTTGTTATTTCTGTTTAAATACGGCATCATATTTGGTAAAGTAATCACACATACTTAAATAATTCTAACAAATAAACGCATCTAGTTACTAATTTAAAGCCAGAAACTACAAAATACATCATTTGCATAACACAAATACATAACTTTTTGCGGGATTAGTTAAATTTTCTGTCATTTACTTCATAATACGATATTATGCTATATGTAAATCCAAGAAATGTATGTATGTAAAAATATTATAAGAAGTTATAACAACTTTTAGTAAAAAATTGCTCAACACTATTATGTCTGTTATCGATGAATTTTAATTAAATACACTGAAAGTAGTATACTTTAATGCATTTCATAGTATTTCTTTTCTCTATATTTTACGTATACTAATTAGTTTTTTGCGCTGTCATGTAAATAGTGTTGCAATCATGTGTTGCAACTATTTTCTGTATTTGGTCACGTATACAACTTACTTATTATTTGATTTTGTTTACTGTAGGTTTTAAAAATATATTTTAGTTACACCGGTATGCGATCCAGTGACGACTAGTTTTATTATACTTTATAATATTATATATATGAAGAATTGTAAAGAATCCGTTATTTAATTTGTAATTACAATTGAACTCTTTTTGCGCGAATTTTTTTACTCGGTTTTTTGTACAGCTCCAAGATTTTTACATGATTTCACTTTTTTTCACGTGTTTTCCATTTAAATGTATACCTTTTTGCAATCAAAATTCCATACGAAAATATAAGTTAATTTTAGCATATATTATCGTAAGACGAGTTTAAAGATGAACTAGAAAATCATTTCCTCAACCGGACAATGCCCACCTTCAACAAACTAACTGGACCTTAGGAGTGTGGCTTTAGACCTGTAAAATTTACCAAACTTTTAGGAGGAAGATCGACACACAACAGCTTCACCGAATCAAGAGACGGCTGCTGCACTGGCTTAGTCGTATTGCGCGAATGGAAGAGAACATTTCAACTGTGGAGGCTTTCGATTCGGTACCGGAATTGCGCCAAATAGCGAAAAGAAGGAACGACTGGCGCAGTGTTGTTTACTCAGCTATAACCACGTTAGCAGTGTCTACACCAATAAAGAAGAATATTACCATTTCCAGAAAACTTTTTGTTTTTAGTTTTAGCAGTAATATATATGTACATATATATAATAACATGTAAATTGTTACCCATCACACATCCTCAGACAGTGTGAAAATTAATGAAATTGGATGATAACCATGCCCTCTCTAAACAATTGTGACAAAAATTGGCGCCTTCAAAGTAATCCCCATCAGATATAATACACTTATGCCAATGATTCTTCCACTCCTCGAAACACTTTTCATAATAATTTCTTGTAATGGAAGAACTCTTTGCATACCCAAAATATCAACCAAAATCATTCCAAAGGACTCCCGAGAGATGTCGAGTTCTCTTATCATCTCCGTAACACTTGCCTGACGATTTTCAAGCACTGTATATTTTACTTTTTAATATTTTCATCAGTTGAAGAGGTCGAAGGTCTTCCAGAATGAGGCATGTCTTCAACGATCTCTCGACCTTCAATTATCTTTGAATTATCAGAATTTAGTTACAAATTCCGGGTGAGTTTTTGTCTTAATATATAAATATATGTATATAAAATATATTTACTTAAATAATGCCAAAAATGTATGCAATTAGTTCATGCCTTTTCCTAGCCTGATTAATTAAGCTTGGCGCAGAATATAAATTAAATTATTCTAGACTCTAATATGATGGTTTCAAATTCTTTGGTTAAGTTTACCTTATCATATACATATATTAAATTTAGCCTTTTTAGTTAACTTTTTATCACATACGATTGTTATCCATTCGCGATTTTGTCTAATAATGAGCTTTGGAATTAATGATCAACGCAAATCGCGATCTTCGGTGACACCTAAACATAAATCTTCCTTACTTGTTATTTAGTCTTTACTTGCTACTATTATCAACGCGAACTCATTTTTAACAGCTACATACGGTAACGCTAACATGAAAGTAACAAGAAACCAGCTGACCTTAAAATTTGCATTTACTTACACGTTTGTACAAACAGATAAATTAGTTTAATCTCAAAAATAACTATTTCTATAAATTTATTGATATGCACACATATGAAGTTTATTTAAATAACATTGTAGTAGTCAAAAAGCTTTTAGGAACATATTTTAGCTTACATTACAACTACAGATGATAAATTAATACACACTTAGGACTTGAAAATGTGTTACTGATTTTTAACAGCTGCTTACAATAACTTACATTACATAATATTTCAGATTCTCCTAATTATCAATGCTTATGAATCTGGTAAGATGCGCATATACACAGATAACAAGTAAGGAAAGCTTAAGTTGAAGTGCAACCGAACATTTTATACACTTGCAACTTGCAGGAATCAACGTGGACTGGCCTTCTAATATACTATAAAAATATTCCCTGGCTTTCATTAATTTTCGATATATCGTTCAAAAGTGAACAATAGATATTATATAGTTTTGGTTGAATTTAAATTTAATAAATTTTTGTTCATAAGGTAAGGTAATTAATTTTAGTTAGCTTCAAATGAGAAATATGCATATATGTGCATGTGCATATTAGGGTGCTCGGAAGTACCCTAAAAAATTCGCTGAAAATTTTACCCTCAATATTAACATTAAGGACTGGACCAAGGCATGTAAAAATTTTCCATTGAAAATATGAATTTTCAATTCCATACAGCCTTACTTAAAAAGCCGACTTAATGTTAATATTACTGTGCACATTGAAATATGTCCTCTAAATTTGGGATTTGTACAGTTTTTCTAACCATAGGTGTCCATCCTTAGTGTGATTCATTGTACTTGATTTAATGCATCTTAATTTTTAACGTTTTCTGAGTATGGCAGTGGTTCGATTCCACCCATATACAATACCCACGGTGCCATGTGTCATCAAAATTTCTTAATCTTTTCTTAAGTTACAGTTTACACGGGCGAACAGATAAACAGGCAGTTAGATTTCAATTTGACTCATCATCCTGATCACTTATATAAGTATATAACATATGTATATTGTATATAACTTCATATATATTTCAATTGGTTTTACGTGGTACAAACAACCGTTAGGTGAGCAAAAATATAGTATTCTGTAGCAATATGTTCAAGAGTATAAACATTACTGTTGGATTATCTGTTAAAATTTTTTGACTGATATAATAGCTATCTAAAAATTTATGAAAAATGGTTTTCTGACTGTTTTATATCAAAAAAAATATATATATATATCTAACTGGTATTTTGTCTGATTTATTAAATTTTGTACTATATTAATTGTTTGTATATAACTTCGCAACAATAGTGTGTAACTAAAAAGCTCAATACTGTATAGATAGCCCCTTAATACTATTGGAGTACTCACAACGTGTCACAAAGTATCGTAAAATCATAAAATCATAAATTTTTATAATAGGTTAAACATTTTTTTGTTGAACGCAATGTTTTCGGATTGTTATAACTTATAACTTTATGAGACTATGTGAAGCCCCTATACATATATGAATCTGGCGTTGGGCGTTCTATACACAAATGTCACAATACATAATTAACGAATATATACTCGTATGTGTATCTCAAAATTTACATACCCGTATACCCAAAGATTTATTCATATTATATTTACTCTATTTGAATTTAGTTATACGTATTTATGATAAATTATTATTCAATATTTTCGTGACTTTTATTATTTTATATTTACGAGTGTATTTAACCACTCATTTAAATTGAAATGCAAGTAGAAAGACAAACTCTCAGTTTAATCACAATTTCCTTGTAGATTCCAAAAAGTTTTTTTTGTTGCTCTTCAGCAGTATATTAAGTTTAAATGATCAGCGTACCGAGCTGTGCTCGTATATTCCCATAATTTTACATAAAACATTATATAAGCCAGAGCTATTATATCCGAAAATATAAATATCCGACTACTATTGCATATAACTGTCATACAAACTGACGAATCAAAATCAAGTTTTATATGGAATCTTGTTTATTTGTGAAGGGTTTTCCTTTTTTTGCTCTTATTATGTTAGTATATTCAGAAAGAATTATTTTATCTACTGTTTTAAAAATTTAGTGACAGTTTTTGGAATACTTGCTAAAAAAAAAAGAAACATGTATTATTACACGCGGTCTCAGCCGATACTAAAAAAAGTTACGCATTGCTACAAAGATTCTGAAAAAAGATTCTTGCACCGTGTATGAAACCTAAAACAAAATCGATTTTTGATGAAGTCATAAAAGTCGCATAATTTCTCTCCGAATAATCTCTGCAAAAAATGTAAAGATAAACTGATAAAGAATTGAACTAAGCGGCTATACTTTAAAAGTCTATAACTCAAAAATATTTTAAATAATTATTTAAAAATTTAGTATGGTATTATTGAAGGTATAGGCTATGGAAATATGCATTATATGTATATATTTATTGTGCCCGCCAAAAAGAATTAACAATATTTTAGTACCCCTAGCGAACGAAGAAACATATCTTGGTATTCTCTTAGATAGAAGCCTCATGTGGAGAAAACACATCTAAAGTAAAACAACATGTATGAAGATTAGAGCTGCAAATTTAAATTGGTTTTTAAATAAAAAATTCTAAACATAGCTTAGACAATAAAGTGCTTTTGAATAATGCGGTCGTAAAGCCGATTTGGATGTATAGCAGGGGTACGACCTGTGCAAAAAATATTGACATAATACAAAGGTTCCAATCGAAAATGTTTACAACAGTCATGTGTTCACCATGGTACATGTGTAATGAAAATATCCATAAAGATCTTGGTATTCCTACGGTAAAGAAAGAAGTAGCAGATAGCTGAATTAAATATATATCTGAACTCCAAAATCACCAAAAACTTTTAGCTAATGGTTTGGTACATACCTGCGATCAAACACGCCTTAAAAGAAAATATATGTCTGCACTAAAGAGCAACGTACCTGTTTTAAAAATTTATCAAATCGTAATTTTAGGACTAGGTGCTTAAGCTTGTCGAGGGTATGGAAAAAATTTCAAACAAATATATGTGTATAATATAATACTAAATATACTTATGTATTTGCCGTTAAGAAAAAAAAGCATGCCCCTTTCATTTAAATATATTTCTTATTCAAAGATAATTCGAATGTAAATGTTATTTTTATGACTGCATCAATTAAGCTAACACTCACGAAATATGATTGAGAGTAGACTAACTCCACGATGCAGCGATGCAATGTATCATTACGTAACACGTACTTTCGAAAATGTACTTGACAGAAAATATAGCGTGGTATGTTACGTATGTGCAATTATTCATATTCTAGGTGAACATTTATTAGCGCAATACCTTTAATTTTTTTCGCGCACCTTGTTTGACAAATACATGTATGAATCCCTTGGCTCAATAGTTCTACACTATATTTTCCTCGTTTTTTCTATAGCAACGCAGAAATTATTAAAAAAAAGAAACACTTTAAATTTACCACACAAACATTTTTTAGAATAAATTTTCTTTCGATTTTTTGCCAATCTTGCATAAATTCTTGAATTCGCAACATACATGTATATGTGCATGTGTAAGTGCTGGTATATGTATAGCATATACACATACATATTCTTACTAGGCAATACAATAACTCATTCTCAAATAAATCATTTGTCAAATTGTTTGCTTTATGACATAAACATTTTGTATATTTTACTTAAACTTACAAATTGATGCCCTCGCCCACTTTTGAAGGTTTTTACTACACTCATATTTGGCATATGTAATCCACAAGGTAGAGTTTTCAAAAATCATTTTCTCTTGAAATGACTTTGACTATGAATTTGAAAACATTCACTGACTTCTTTTTCAGAATTTCACTGGATTTTTTCACTGATTAAGTTTAATCTTAATAGCATGGGTTAAGTGAGGAAGTGTCCAAAGCAAACGAATTTTTTACTCAGCGAAAAAGAAAATAGTCGTAGAATTAGTATTATCCTTTCAGCACTGACATTTCTGCTATTATCGGGCAGCCATGCGCATGGTTGCAACCATCGGTTGATATTATGAGAGGTTGTCGTATAAATATGAATGTATGTACGTACGTGCATACATATATACGAATTTTTATATATTTTATTGCAAAACTTAATCACAACCCCGAAGTATTTCAATGCAGGCAATTTCGGAATGTGATGAATACAAATACAGTCGTGTCTTTTAAAATCATTTTCTTATACCGGGGCACACTTTAAGCCGACCTTGACTTTGAACTGGGAAATATTTAATAACTTAAACCTTTTGTAACCACTTTTATTCACTGAGCTCTTTCATTGATTCAATTGCATCTTTATATTTGAGTAACAGGGTGTACCGCTAAACAAGTGAAATCCTGTAGTTAGGGAAAAATAAAACAGAGACATCGCGAATATTGAATTGTTACTTGCCACAACGCGAAATATATCTTTTCTACACAGTAATTTCCACAAACATTAGACGGCCATGCGCACCATTACTGCAATTGGGTGGTAGTAAAGTATTTATAAATCACATCATATGTGACCTTACTTTCAGTTATCGTTTTCGGCTTTATAATCACCACCAGCTACCGGCAACCGATTCATAGAAAAATATGCTCATACTAAATTAACATTCACTCTGCAATTCAAACTCAAACTAACTGAAGAGAACTACAGAAACGCACAACCCACGTAACATAAGCATAGTTGCCAACATATTGCTTTAAGTAAAGGGTTTAGTGTTTTTTTTTGTTTTTTTTTAAATGCCAAAAAATTGTTCAGTGCCTAGTAACCTTGCTAGTGAGTAACATTAAAAATTAAATATATGTAAATCCACTTCATTTTATGAAGACTAAAAACTACCTACCTTTATTGAAATAATTTATCCAATTGAAAGGTGATATTCTGCCGTTGACGAAAGAATTTGTTACATATTCTGATATACGTGCGTGCAGAAATATTCATTATATTCAATGGCATTATACTGAATCTACTTAAAAATACTGGATTTCGGTAAAAGGTCAACAAGGACTCAGCTGGAGTGAATCCTTCTGAATACTTGTAAAATTTTAAAATAAGGTTTTTCTCCTTACTAAACTCTAACGCAGAAGTTTAAAGCGTGTTCAGTGCAACAAATAAAATTCAAAACGAATTGCTCCTTCTTTCAGTTTATGCCTTTGAAACTAACTTAAGATATGTAAATATTAATAATAAATTCGTAATGAGTGAATAAACATTATAGTGGTAAATCAGTAATAGGTATTTAACAATAATATTAACAAAATAAAGATTAATATTTAGCGTTCTCAATGTAGTTATTATACATGTTTAAAGGCTAAACATTTGTCAAATACAAACTGTTATGAAAAAAAAAATAAAATTAGATTGATTTAAAGAAAATTTAGTACACTTTTTGTAAAAACGCATGTTTCTGCTTTTTGGAATTGAAAAGTTGGCAACTTTGACCCTAATTGCTTTATAATTGCGCATGCTATAAAAAGCTGTGTTGCTTCCCCCATTAATTCACAGCAGCTTTTATGGAACATATTAAGAGAACACGTTATTAACATTATGTGGAAAAGCGTTAATAGAGAACAGAAAATGTTAATATATATTGAAAACCCAAATGTTAGTTGAAACAGAATGTGTAAACTTTATACCAGAGAACGTCTATATATTTAAACTTTGCATACATTTAAGCGCATATTTTTGAGGAGCTAGTTCGCTCAAATATTCTAAATATCACTGGAAAATGTTTCAAACATGCCAACAAAGCTAATAATAAAAAATAAAAAAGGGTATTAAAAAGTAAAGTGAACAAAAGTAATAAAATTAACGAAGCAGAAAGTTTCACATAGAGCGCGACAGAGTGCAAGCGACATCTGTCAAATATTAAAATACGCACGTTCTTATGGACGCAGTTATGTAGTAGTGCAGCTACCTCAATAACTGTGTCTTTAAGAACATGTGTAATTTAATATTTGACCAATGTCGCTTGCAGTCTGTCGCGCTCTATGTGTTCCGGGCGTTATGGAAAAAGCAGTAGGAGGGTGATTTTCAGCACCACAGTAGCCAATGCAACTATTACCAGTTCAGAGATTCATTCAAATTTCCTAAAATATTTCTAAACAAAATCTTGTTTAATGCATTTTATTCTGTATATATACATATGTATTTCTGCGGATATGAAAACAATGCCACGAAAAATCCTCCATATAATCGTTTTATAAATACAAATTTTATCTGTTTCAAAGATAAAAAAAAACGAACATATTGAAAGACAATACCAACCATTTTCAAACTACTTTGTCATCAAACATATGCTTTCCAAACTGTCGTTACCTTGTATTCTTGAATGTTGGTGGAAATTGTAGACAGAGAACGTATAAAACGTTATACGATCTCAGTTGTAGACGAGAATTTAAATAGGAATACAAATGAATAATTAAAATTTTAACTCCTTGTGTCTATTTATAGATAAAATAAAAAATATATACAAAATTAAATGATATTTACAGAGCAAAGCATATGAAATATATGTAATTATATTAAAATGCGAACTCCCTCGCCGTGAAATGAATTTTCATTTAACCTTGACGAACTGGGTGTACTTCTCAACCGTTTTCTCTTACAATTCGTATAAAAGATGCGCAAATTGTACACTTGAAAATCTTGTTTCGAATAACTAAATTGGTAGTAGATAGGATCGTAGAGTAGGTAGAGATTAGGAAGAGGGAAGAACAAATAAAATCAGGTTGGGATAAGAGTGTAAACCTAAATAAGAAAGAAAAAAGTGTAGCCATGTGAAATGAATACGCAGTAGATGTCAATAAAAAATTTGGTTGGGTGGGTTGAGGGACAAAACATATTATACATGCACATAGAAGGGACGGCATACACACACACACACAGGCATACAGCAGAACGCTAGAGCGTTATTGTTGAATTTTTTGTGAACGCTAATGCCAAGCCCCTGGTGGGGATAGAGGGGAGCTTGAGGGCTTTCC